GGTTGAAGTGGGTGGAGATGAGTGTCGGGCATGACATGGAAGGTTTACAGGATGATACTGAGACCTGCTGTGATTGGTGGACCTGGAAGTGGCAGAATTGAAGATACTAAAGTTTTCACTGTGACAAAGACGTCAGGAAAGAAGGAAAAGCTAATATTTCTATTCAGACTCTTTAGTTTGGTCCTGTTTGTGGTTTCTTTTCCTCTGTTCTCTGCTCTGCTACTCGTCTCTTCCCATTAAATGGTAGTAATTCCTCCCCACTCTTCCCATTGTTTTAATCTGATTTTATCTTTCCTGTACAGTTTCCCCCTGTATCACCCTCAAGATGACAGTTGTTGTGAACTGTCATCGTATACATACAACTGATTTGAATGTACTGGACTGAATGAGATCAAAAGCCTCCCATGATCCCAAAGTAGAGTTGTTGTTCCCGAGCTGCAGCCTCGGACAGTACAGTGAACAGAGACAGGGTCTCTTCTGTGGCTCCTCACTGAGTCCTCAACACCTTGTTCCTTTGACTTTCACAGGTCTACACAGCATGTGATGCATGTGGCACACTAATAATAACTTCATTTAAAATGTGGACAGTGTAAGATGGAAGCAGATAATCTGCTGAGGCAACTCCGTAGATGATGTGGGGTCCAGTGTTTTTAGAGCTTAAACCATACAAAGAAAGCTTCACTTTAAACACTAATTTCACTGTAAAGCAAATCTTTTCGCCCAGTAACAATCATTTGGAGCACACCTGAACACGCTCGTCTAACTGAAGACCAACTGAACTTTTAATTGCATGAAATAATTTATTTATAGATGACAAATGATAATGATTTTCACTTATGTCTACAAATCTATTCTTTTGTACACTTGGGTCGATGAGTATTTGCACTGTGTTTGCCATGTGCACCACCACTGCAGAATAAACTTTAAAAAATCTATTTGTGACTAACAGACAGATTTTCAGCTTTAAATCAAGAGGTTTAACCGAAGCATTGTATCAACTTTTTTAGGTATTAAAGCTGGTTTTATAAATAGTCTCACATTTTCAGAAGCTCTAAATAATCGGGTAATTGACTGACAAGCACTTTTTACTTGATTGCTGTTTTTATTTCAGATAAACAGACTCCAAATCTCTTAATTTGCTAGTTTTTCACTGGAACTGTCAATATGAGGTCCAAAAAGATGTTGATGCATATGACAAATGACGTGTATAAATTAGGGGCGGGTGGAGTGCTTGGTACAATTCAAGACTTATGGCACATTAATTACCTTCATTAATAACTCAGTGGGACCCTGGAAGAGTGTGGAATATATAAGGGTGATGGGCTGTTCCCACTGCTGTTCTGCATACGCCTCAATCCCCTAAGCTGACACATCACTGAAAGTGGTTCACAGGTGGAGTGATCCTGAGCCATAGTGGATGACGTCAAGTTGTACGTTAAGGGTGAGCGAAACATCGACTCACGGATCCACCCGTCTGCAGCAATGACCTCAGGATGTAATTGACAGGAGAAGTGTGGCCAAAGGGCTGCAACGAGAGGGAAGGTGATCGGGACTGAAGGACGCAGAATTGCAGACATACAGGACAGCTACAAGTACCTGGGTATCCCAGAGGACAACAGGAACATCATGAAGCCACAGCCACATACCTCCAGAAGGAAAGACAAAACCATTCAAGTTTCTTTGTGAAAACAGG